CTTTGTGCTGTTGAGGCTAGAGAGGTGAGCAGAGTAAACCTGATTCCCCGTTTGGACTTCTTTGTTGACATCCACCTCTTGGCGCTCACATGACCGCATGCAGTTGCGAGCGCCGTAAAACCTTACTAAAACTAAACACCACTTGTGGGTTGTTGTGACGTCATGCGAGAAAGACTCAATCTCATTCGTTAACTGATTCTAGGATGGATGGTCAAAATAATTACCTTTCACAGAACAATGTCTGGCATCGTCTATCTTCCAATAGGTCAGTCACCCTCCGAGTATGTTCCGCCAGTGACGCGATCGTGGGCAGGTATGAGCTATTTATAGACACCGCCCACAGAAGTGATAAAGGCACGGAGACTTGGCGCCACAAACACCCGGATGACATCTTCGTTTTGTTCAATCCTTGGCAGAAAGGTAAGCCTCATACATGTACCAAGTATTGCTTTTACTGGGATGGGGGGAGGAGGAGTCATGTTATATTGGTCAGTATGTGGGTTTTGCACCCCTATAAACACTATCATATTATTTAAAAGGCGGGACCTCCGAATTTTGCAACAGTTTTGGATATGACCAAACGAAATGACGAAACTCTCTCTCTCTCTCTCTCTCTCTCTCTCACACACACACACACACACACACACACACACACACACACACACACACACACACGCACACACAGACACATACACGCACACAGACACGCACAATAATATGTATACAATTATTGTTTAAGAACAAGAAGCGGCACTCTTTAGATGATGCAATTTGTCCCACAGGGATGGTAACTCAAATAGAAAAACAACTTTTTCTCACTTCACCCAGATAGGAAAGGGTGTTAGTTTATAGACAGAGTAGTTCGGAGGTTCCAGCCTCAGTCCCGACGTGATATTCTTGGGAAATACACTTTACGCAAATGTCCCTCAGTTCTCCCAGGTGAGAATGGGTACCCGTCCTCAGTGAGCGAAAGATCTTTTCAGTATGTTATTTTTTTAGCGCTTATAAAATGGCAGTTTCCACTGCATGCTTCCCAGGAAATTATTATTATTATTATTATTATTATTATTATTATTATTATTATTATTATTATTACTAGACTGTGGAAAACCTTGTCTGTTTATTAGTCGTTGAGCGCTTAGTCAGCTGTTTGCACTGTATGCTTCCCAGGAAGCTGACAATACTGCTGTTTTTGTTGATATTGTTGTTGTTGTTGTTGTTGTTGTTGTTTTTATTGTTTTTGTTCATGATGATGATGATGTTGTTGTTGTTGTTGTTGTTGTTGTTGTTATTAAAACCCGAATTAACGACTGGATGTGGGTATGTTCTGCAGATGATGCCGTGTTCTTGAGCAGCGAGGCGGAGAGACGTGAGTTTGTGATGGCGGAAACTGGACGCCTATGGTTGGGCTCTGTGGACAAGCACTTCGTCAGACCCTGGAACTTCGGCCAGGTGAGAAAAAGTTGGCTTGACAAGGCGGTTATTAACTAACCATGTCACCACAACAGCCTGTGTTTGGTCCAGGCATGACACGAGCGGTTTTTTAAAAGGGTACTAGAGAATGAATTTTAGGATAAGACATACTTTTGTAAGTCAAGGGTTGAAGACGTCAATGTTGTTTTCTTGTGTGTATTTCAATTATTAGGAGTACACGGAAGGCAGTTTGTTCAGCTTTTTCATTATTGTTTGTTGGGTTGTTTTGTTGGAGTTGGGGTTGGTGTTGTAGTTTTTCTGTTGTTTTATTTGCTTTGTTTGCTTTCGTTGTTTGATTGTCTGTTTGTTTGTTATTTGGTGTTTTTGAAATTCATTTTGTCTATTTCAGCTTATTTATTTATTTATTTATTTATTTATTTATTTATTTATTTATTTATTTATTTATTTATTTTCTTGGGGGTGGGGGGGGGGCGTAGATTTTTATCTTCAACAAAGGCTCTGTGTCAATCTATATGTAACAGCCACCTAGAACACAGAAGGGTTAATTTGTGCCCAATGAGAGCAGGGCAGCAGAGGAAAATTTTGAGTGAACATTGATTGGTCATTTTAAAAAACTCGATTAACAAAAACAGTTGGACAATCAATTAATAATAACCACCTTCACTGACGCATATTTTCTAATATACCACTTTCGGTCCCCTGAGTGCATAGCCACAAGCCATAAAATCGAATCCAACACTTCAGTAAAATGTAATGGTCTATAGTGGTTAAGCTGTCGGGCTCACCAGGCTCCCAAAGTTATGTCCTTCTGAAATTCACTTTGCATAAATGTTCATCCCTTCACACAGTTGGGGAGGGCACCTGGCTATACATGTATTTATATTATATATATATGGAAGATGAAAGATCGTGTTTGTTTGTTAATGTTTTAGCGCTTAATCGCATGCTTCTCGAAAAACCAAGAATGTTTCTGAGAGTTCAAAGGTCTGCTAGGCATAAAGCATGCTGTAGATCTCAGGTACGCGCTATGTAAATGCAATTATATCTGTTACTTCTTATTCATCATCCTCTTTTGGCCCCTCCCAACAGTTCGAGTACGTCTGTCTGATCGCCGCCATCTCTCTCCTGGATCGATCCGAGCTGGCTGACCAAGCCAGAAGCAATCCAGCCCGTGTGACCAGGACCATTTGCCAGGCTGTAAGTTTGTTTTGTGGTTTCTTACCGGTTTTTCTTTCTTTTTTTTTTAGCATCTGACGTCCCAAATGAGTCAGTGGCAAGTGAATTTGAAAATAGACAACTTTTCTCTTGGTATTTGTTCCATTTGTTTGAATGTTTTCTTCTTTTTTTTTCAATGGATGAGCACGTCTGTTGATTATTTAAACGAGAAATAGTGTGTTGTCATAGTTCTGTGTCAGCTATTAAAAATTTCAGCAAAATAAATGGAATACGTTCAACAGTCTTGAAAAATAGAGCTTTCCCTGATATCCACTTGGCCGTTCTCAAATTACCTTTTTCAGTTTATCTTGTAAATCAACTCTCTTTTAGCTCATTTCCCTAGAAAAGCAACGCAACAAAAAACAAAAAAGATTATATCGACACTGTAAGATAATCGGTCAGCAGAGAATTATCTCTTCACAGAGCATTTTTACACCTTTTATAGTTATTCTTCCATAATACAGCTACATAGTTGCGCTATAAAATCACACTAACAGGATAATATTATGTTCTCGTCAGCGTCTTTTCGTACAAGAACATGTCCGCCTGTTCAAAGGCATCTGTTCCGCAAATCTATTATTTTCCCATGAACCCCATTGCAAGGCCGCAACAAGAATTCGTTGGTTTTGAAAGAACAGAGGATGCTAATGTGTGTTTTGTTTTGGTTTTTGAAAGTGTTTTACGGCGCTCGAAACTACATAAGGTCATAGAACGCGCGGGACACATTAAACATTTTCAGTTGGTAGCAAATTTCGAATTTTGCTCGAGTGGCGGCCAAAGCCTACTCTTATCGATTTTAGACCACCAAGGGATCTGTAACGTGGGCAACTTGCACACGGGACCTCCGATATTTTTTTTTTGCCCTTGTCCGAGAAGGCTATGTGTAGATCTTTCCTACCAGAAGATCAGGGGTGTGGCTGAAAGACAGCAGTTAGAGGGATCCAAGGAGTAGCAGTAGAAAGGCTGCAGAAAGAGTCAGGAGCCCAGATGAGGGGGCAAAGGAGGTGAGGGGGTGGGGGCAGAAAGTGGAGACGAAAGCAGATGACAGATCATTGTCAGAGAAAGGAGGTGAAGGGAGACAATTTTAGAGAAGAAAAATTTTGGTCGCTACCTGGATTCGAACCCAGGACCTTTGAATGAGAGGCGAACACCTTAACCTCTAGGCAACGAG